AGTTGTGTTCTCCACCCTGGTTCTTGGTGATCTCGTCGCTGTTGAAACCTAGTTAGTGGAACTGAAGCTGGCGAGAAGACATGTTTTGCGAGACATACATGTGATCAGAGAGCTGCTGCAGGTGAGCCTGCTGCTCGGCGAGCTTCTTCTTGAGCTCGAGGAGCTTCTCGCGCTCACGTTGGCGGATGGCCATATCCTCAGCAGCCTTCTCACGGCGCTGGAAAGCGTCACTGCGAATGGTCAGCATTTGAGAAGCTTCAGGAGAACACATGAACGATCGGCGGCAGTTGCCAAACCATCGTACGATGCGATTGAGCGGAAAAGTACTCACCCTTGACCACCCATCTTGGGGGGAGCTCCAGTGTCGCCCTCGGACATAGCTCTGCTGGTGGTGGTGAAGGCAGCTCTGGAAGCAAGGGTCAGAGGGCGGGCAGCGGCCTTGGTGGCAGCGACGCGAAGCATTTTGGCGGTGTTTGGAGGAGTGATTTGGAAGAGGAGGATGTGCAATAGCAAAACAATTGCAGTTGAAGTTTGGGTTGTCAAGATGGCCGATGACGATGGTGCTGGGACCTTCGCTTTTTGTGATAGGTTGGATTGTGGAGGTGGGTGGTCGGTGCTGACGAGCGCTAGAACGGGGGAAAGGGAGATCTCGGTGCTGGTTAAATGCCTATTGGCAGGAGGGACCGAATAGAGGGGAGCTGCGGCTGTGATTTTGTGTGGCTACGCTCCTCTGCCCTTCTGCCTGCCATGATCTGATCCTTGGAACAAACCTGGCCTTGGAAGGCGTAGGAGGGCGAGGGAGCTTTCGGTCAACTTCTTTACCCGAGTACGGGAAGTGATACGTCATTTTGACTGTAGGTTGAGGTACTTTGCTAACAAGGAACCCGCCGGCATTTCTCGGCTTCGATGCTTGGTGGGCAGAATAATTGAATAAGACCATATTTACTCAGGCCACTGATGTCGCCCGCTTTCGGCCAGCGGAAGGGCGCTTTGCCTTGTCCAGACTGTTGGGACTGGCAGCTGGACGAGTAAGCATTTCGTCCATGTACCAAGCCCGCATATTCCCGCGATAGATGGCGGCCTTGTCCCTGCAGCATGGACGACCACGACCAATGCTACTGACTACCTTTCTGCTAGAACCCGTGCATGATTGTATCTCATTCGGGCTCCTGTAAGAGTCATCAAGCTCGTGACTTTCTCTGCCCGGCTCGTGTGGTGATGGACGACAGACCACAAAACAGATTCGGATAGGCTAGCCGGTCTCCAGATCTACGAAGTGCCGTCCGAGAGCAGTAGCGTAGCCTTGAGGTCATGTCATCTCCGGCAAGGCTGAATCTGGTTCACGACTGGGATGTCCCTCTGGTAGCTTGAGATGGGAAAGATGGGGGGAGATGGCTTGTGCGATCTGTCTCTTGCAAGATGGCGCGGCTGACGGGGTTTGTCGCGCACGAGTGGTGCGACGTTCTCCGTCTTTGTCTTGCAAGGTGAAGTGCCCTTAGCGGAGAGAGCGAGGCGGCTACTACGCGCTGTATGTCGGCCGCGGGTGTAAGTGCTGCCTCGACGAGCATGTCTCCGTCTTGCTGAGCCTAGTTCTTATGACGATGGCTGCGATTTCGCTCCGTCTCGATGCATTGGAAATGTACAAAAAGGGCACATGGTTTCTGGTCTAGAACCCAGACAGGCAGGGGCCACCGAGAAAGCACCTAATTATGGTTCAAACGGGACTGCCGCTACCCAACTACAGGCAAGGCAGCGGGACTGCACAAGTGCCTGAACTCAAAGGACGACACCGATGGGCACGGAGGACGGCGATTGCATGAAAAGAAGAGACGAAGTGGGATGGGGAGACGGGAAGGAGGGGTTCGGCTTCGGTTTTTGGCATTTGGGGTCCCTGATGTGCGTGTGGCAGGCCACCTCGCGGACTGCAGAGCTGGAGAAGCCTGCGGTAGCTCAATGTCTGAGCATGCCTCCTATCACCGTGGGTTAGGAGGAAGCATGGGCATGAGCATCAGCATCAGCATCAACGCGCTGAACAGTGGCACGAAGAAATGCAGCATGGCTTATCAATAAAGTACATGGCTGCAGCAAGAGACAGGTATTCGCACTTGCTGAGGTCATCAAGACTTGCTCCCGCTGGTGCACTTGAACTGCCTGATGCCAGGTACTGCTTGTCAGCCGGCGGCAGCAGAGGCATTCGTGCCAGAGTCCACCGACCAAGGCCGACGGCCCTGGGGAAGGGGCGCCGCGTGCTGGGGAAGTCGATCCACGCAAATAAAGAGCATCCGACGTCAGGTACCACTTTGTACCTCTCTGTCCCCCCACCGTGTGTCGCAGAGTCAGGTTTGCAATAAAGGGGGATGGAAACCCAGCAGTTGACCGCGAGGAAGGCACGATTCAAACAGACTTTGGCGGCGCTGAGGGGGAGATTCGATAGCACTTTCCCCTCCTCAGACCCTCAAAAGGCATACGCAGTCTCAGCCGCAGCGCACAGCCGCCACACCTTATGCTACCTCGCGGTACCTTACCTCACTTGGGCTGGGCAACTAGCAGTACTACGCATGCGCGGTAGAGGTGAGGAAAGGAAGGCATCTCTGTCCAGTCCGTCCCGCCGTCTGGGCTGCTCCAGGCCGCCTAGGTACCTAATGCAATTCACGTGAGCCAGCCATTCCAGGGCTAGCAGTACCAAAACACAAGGGCACCTGCTACAGTGGATGCGAAAAAGGGGATTGGCCAGCGTGCTTGCTCGTCCAAGCCAGCCAGTAAGGTACTGTCTAGTGAAAGTCGGGACCCCGTTCCCAGTAGGTCCCAGTCCACGTCCAGTCCAGTCCCCGGCCAGTCCACCACGTCCAGTCACTCCCAGGCCCAGTCACTCACTGGTCAGTCGCCGCCTTGTCTTGCCCGGTGCAGTGTCCAGAGCCCCTTCCTCAATTTCCATCCATCACCTTTTCGTCTCATCAACTTTCCCAACTTCAAAACTCTCGCACTACATTAGCAAACGTCAACACACCCGCCTCTCTTCACCCTTCGACGCATCCCCTTCCCCTGCTCCGGATCTTTCGAGTTTCGACACGGGATTTATCCATTGCCAACTATCCATCGTTCCACCAGAACATCCCCGCCGTCTTCAAAACATCGCACCAAGGTACGTGGTCCCCTCCCCCATCCCCCCGTGCCCCCTCTGTCGTCATCGCATCCCTCGCCGCAATCTCCTTCCACCGATTCCCAACAACCGCCCTCGCCAAAGACCGGGCGACCGCTCCGAGACGATGCCGTTCATGCCTTGATCTCTTCCCGATTGAACGACTCAACAAGTTCGCGCGCCCTATCAAGATCGGTCAGGCGCGAAACCCCACCAGGAGCGGGGAGCCTCATTCAAGTGATGAAGTCAGCGAGGCGCATACGCCGCGATTCGCCCTATCCGTCCTCAATCGCCATGCCCGCCCTGCCACCCTCAATTTGCCTCCTTCGGCGCCTCTCGTATCGAGTTCTTCCTGATTCTCCATTTTGAGCGCACAATCATCGTCGCCGCCGCCTACACGTGCTAATCCGTCTCGACCGCCACAGATCATAACCGCCAAAATGGGTCACGAAGATGCTGTGTACTTGGCCAAGCTTGCTGAGCAGGCTGAGCGCTACGAGGGTACGTGGTTTCCGTCGCTCATGTACGATGGATTATACTGATGAACGGGCTTTCAGAGATGGTCGAGAACATGAAGATCGTGGCCTCTGAGGACCGTGACCTGACCGTCGAGGAGCGCAACCTGCTCTCCGTTGCTTACAAGAACGTCATCGGCGCCCGCCGTGCCTCCTGGAGAATCGTCACCTCCATCGAGCAGAAGGAGGAGTCTAAGGGCAACTCTTCTCAGGTCGGCCTGATCAAGGAGTACCGTCAGAAGATCGAGGCCGAGCTCGCCAAGATCTGCGACGACATCCTTGACGTTCTCGACAAGCACCTCATTCCCTCCGCCAAGTCTGGCGAGTCCAAGGTGTTCTACCACAAGATGTAAGGATGGACGTCCAAATTGGCTATTCGAAAGCAATACTGATTACGTGAACAGGAAGGGTGACTACCACCGCTACCTCGCCGAGTTCGCCGTTGGTGATCGCCGCAAGGACTCCGCCGACAAGTCTCTCGAGGCCTACAAGGCTGCCACCGAGGTTGCCCAGACCGAGCTTCCCCCTACCCACCCCATTCGTCTTGGTCTCGCCCTCAACTTCTCCGTCTTCTACTACGAGATCCTTAACGCTCCCGACCAGGCCTGCCACCTGGCCAAACAGGCTTTCGATGATGCCATTGCCGGTTAGTACCACCGATGTCTATGCTATGATCAATTTGCTAACTATGCTATCAGAGTTGGACACTCTTAGCGAGGAGTCCTACAAGGACTCTACCCTCATCATGCAGCTGCTCCGTGACAACCTGGTAAGACAAACCGACGTTTTTGTCAAAGATAGTCGAGCTGACTCGTTTTAGACCCTCTGGACCTCTTCTGAGGCTGAGCCCGCGGCGTCAGGCGCCGCTGAGGCTCCCGCTGCGGCCAAGGAGGAGGGTGCCGCCGAGGCACCGGCTGCTACCTCTGAGGAGCCCAAGGCTGAGTAAGGGGTTGGTTTCGTAGCATTCATTCTCTGCAAACCTGCGTTATTCGCCGGAATTTGGGTGGACTGGTGTCTACGGAGTGTGGACTGGAGATTTCATTTTGCGAAAGGCATCGTTTAGGCAATACACAAGAATCGTGAAGGGGTTGATTTTTCCTACGGGACTAGCTGAGGCTAAAGAAGAGCATTTTGGAGGTCGTACCCAGGTTTGCTTTCTTAGACTCTAATGCAAGACCGTCTGGACAACAACAAAAAAAGACTAAAATTGCTTTCAAAAAAGCACACCCGGCAACTTTTGAGCATTGGCAGAATGTGATGCTTGCACTGGAGAGATTGACCACAAGAATTTGACACGGCAACTCCCTTATCTGCAGCATGGGCTCGATCTCTCTTTATAATTCATCTCACTCATCCACTATAGCGAAATGGACCTTCATCCACAGACTGCAATCTTGACATCCAACAAGCAATTCCCCGTTCTCGCCCGCCTCCTCCAGATCTCCCTCCGTGAACAAGAAGCCTCGGGAGTTTCCGCACCTACAGCTGCGGTACCAACACTCCTGTCCTTCGTCGAATTCCAAATCGTCAAGGTCCACGTTCTCGATACCCGTCTGGAACGCCTCCTCCCGCTTTAAGCCTTGGTTGTTGGGTGCGAGATCGAGAGACCTGTCGTAGTCTGCCTTAAGCTTGGTATTGGAAAGGACCTTGTATGCCGTGGAAATTTGGTCGATTGTCAAGACGTCAGATTTCGCTGGCGACCTTGAGCTTGTCAAATCTGAGGCTGTAGATCCGTCACCCTTTAGTTGTGGGTATTTATCCGGGTGGTTCTGTAGAAGAGCCCTGTGGTAGGCCCGCTTGATGACTTGTTGCGACTGATCTGCCGCTTGTTCCTGCAGCAGTTTGCGGGTGAGACCGAGGACTGTGTAGTGGGTGTGGCCGCCCGGTGCTGCAGGGGAGGAACTCATGTTGAGCGTGGAGGGGAGGGAAATTCCCCTTGTAGTTGATGCTGGGCGATTTTGTAAGTGAAATTTTCTGGCGAATTAGAGCTTGGGGGGACGATGAATATGGGTCACGTGAGGGGTGAGGATTGGATGGCCCAACTCAACTTGTACATCCAAAGTGATCATGGGAGAAATGATGCGCAATACAAAATCCGGTGAGTTGCTGGACACACTTGGCCAAAGTCACTGTAAATGTCATCGACTCGCCGTCATAGTACTGGCTCGTATGGTCGGTGTGAGCGACGAGTCGCAGCATGACACGGGCGAACAGTTTTGGGAGTTGTCTGATTCGTTTCTTGTACATGATAATACATGGTATATGTACAGCGTCTATGACCATTGACGCCTCGTAAGTTGAACAGGGAAAGAAATCGTTTATTTGGGGAACCTCTTCCAGTTCCTCTTTCCAACCTATGCACATCGTCAGTATGCATGCTCCGAAAATACCATGCGTAACAGTCGACTTACCTTCTTCCACTCCTTGATAAGCTTGGGCATCGCAAGCATAGCCTCTCTCCTCTTCTCCATCCTGAAGCACTTGGTCAGTTACTGGTCCTCCAAGACGACGTGGCATGACGATATACCTGGGCATGACCATTCTCTCGTGAATCTTTCCCTTGACCTTTTGTCCCACACCCGTACCCTTGACCCTCAGACCAAACTCAACACGCTTGGCGATGCGAGCCTCGGTACCCTTGACCGTGGGTGGCAGAAGCTCCTCGACACCATTTTGGCGCGCGAGCTTGACGAGCTCGGCTTGTCGACGCAACGAGTAGACCGGGTCATGCCACTTGCCGGTATCGGGGTGCTTGTGGGCGGCGAACGGATTCGGCGTGAGCTCTTGGAAGCCAGTCTTGGGATTGCCGGCGGGAGCAATAGAGGCGGGTGGCCAACGAGCGAAGAAACGCTGTAGTTGCTCCGGCAAGGCCTTAGCCAGCGCGATGTGCTTTTGCGCTGACATTTTTTTTCGTGGTATCCTCCTCTTAGGTGACCTCCGTTGGTCGATTGAAAAGATGTGCCGGACGATTGAGCACCCTCCCTGGACGTCGTGAGGATCGTGTGCCGTTCGCAGATTCGGGGAGGAATTGGAGGGGTTTCGCTGGTCGACACGGGCTTCTCTGTTCGATTCGATGCTGGCGACGATGTTGGCTGCCAGACAAATTTGGCCAGCCTTATCCACCCCTGTACATGCAGGTGCAGGGGAGGGAAGCTCAGTGCGAGGGAGGGGCAGGTATTGCCGATCGCGACGCTATATGATTGGCCTCTTCAACTGTGGCAGCTAAGCTGTGGCGCATGTCGCAGCCTTCTCCATCTGAGGAATGATATCCGTCAGCTCGATACTTGTCGCCGCAACCACAACTGCAGTTTCAATCTTTACCCGGTGGATTTCGATATCTTCCCGCGTGTGTTACACAACGGGAAAAAGTTATAGGCTCAAGCAACGTGTGGAAGCTTTTCATGAGCGACCTTGATGGCCCGTGCACTTATTAGACGCGCCACGATAGATTGTGTAAGGCTACAACCCAGCCGACCTTCGCCGTCTTTAAACACCAACCCATCATTACCATCAAGCCCAAGATGAGCAAACGCGCCCCTTTAGATTTGGAGGAGATCCTTCGCCAAAAGAAGGCCGCCGCCGCCGAGGCAGCGAAGCCTCGTTTCATCCCAAAGAAAGAGCGCGAGAGACGGGCGGCGGAAAAGGCAGCAGCAGAGCAAGAGGAGCAAAAACGAAAGGCCGAAGCTGAGGCGCGCGAAAAGGCCGAACGGGAGGCGAAGTGGCTGGCAAAGGCGAACACCAGCAATGGAAGAAATGGCACGAATGTCACAAACGGCACAAATGGCATCGGCGCCGGCGATCGAGTCCCAACCGGCCCAAAGGCTATGAACCAGCACGACGATGGCGGACGACGACGAGGACGGGACAAGCCCGAACCGAAGAAGGCGACAACGAAAGACGGAAAAGAGAAGAAATCGGCCGACACGATTGAAGCAGAGCTGCTGCGCAACCGATATCTCGGCCCTGAAGTCAATAAGGAGTCGAAATTTTCCGTCAAGAAAAAGCGGAAGAGAGCAGCCGAGTTCAAGTTCGATTGGGACGCCGAGGAAGACACCACGCGAGATGATGATCCTTTATACGAGTCGAGCTTGGCGCTCAAGTCATATACATTTGGCAGTCTCGCAGGCGAGTTCAACGCAGAGGCTGAAAGTATTGCACTTGCCAGAGCCAAGAGGATTGAGCAGACGGACGCTGAGAACGGCAAGAGACGCGCTCAGGAGTTTATGGACGACTTTTACAAGGCTCGAGACCGAGCTAAGGAACGCGCAGATCGGACAGGTCTTACGAAGCACTGGTCCAAGAAGGCCCTCGACGAGATGCGCGAGCGAGACTGGAGAATTTTCAAGGAGGATTTCGGCATCGCCACGAAGGGCGGTCTCATCCCCAACCCGATGCGCAGCTGGCAAGAGTCGGGTCTACCCCGACGATTGCTCAATATCATCGATCAGGTTGGGTACACGGAGCCGTCGCCCATTCAGCGAGCCGCCATCCCCATCGCGCTGCAAGCCAGAGATCTTATCGGTGTTGCCGTCACAGGTTCCGGTAAAACTGCCGCGTTCTTGCTACCGCTGCTTGTCTACATCTCAGACTTACCGCCACTCACCGAGGTCAACCGCAACGACGGCCCGTACGCACTCATTTTGGCACCGACGCGTGAACTGGTCCAGCAGATCGAGACCGAGGCGAAGAAGTTCGCCGGCCCTCTTGGCTTTAGAGTAGTCAGTATCGTCGGTGGTCACTCTCTGGAAGAACAGGCATTCGCGCTGCGCAACGGTGCCGAGATTATCGTCGCAACCCCCGGTCGTTTGGTAGACTGCATCGAGAGACGTCTCTTGGTCCTCTCGCAGTGCTGCTACATCATCATGGATGAAGCTGATCGTATGATCGACTTGGGCTTTGAGGAGTCGGTAAATAAGATTCTCGATGCCTTGCCCGTGACGAACGAGAAGCCAGACACGGAAGAAGCAGAGAATGCCGCGATTATGAAGAGGTATCTTGGTGGAAAGGACCGGTACAGACAGACGATGATGTACACGGCCACGATGCCACCGCTCGTTGAGAAAATCGCGAAAAAGTACCTACGAAGACCAGCAATCGTCACAATCGGTAACGCTGGCGAGGCTGTTGACACGGTCGAGCAGCGGGTGGAGTTTGTATCCGGCGAGGACAAGCGCAAGAAGCGTCTGCAGGAAATCCTTGCGTCCAACGAGTATGCTCCACCCATCATCGTATTCGTCAACATCAAGCGCAATTGCGACGCTGTTGCGAGAGACGTCAAACATATGGGTTACTCTGCGGTCACCCTTCACGGAAGCAAGACCCAGGAACAGAGAGAGGCAGCCCTTGCCTCCGTCCGAGCTGGTCAGACAGATGTACTTGTCGCCACAGACTTGGCTGGAAGAGGTATCGATGTGCCGGACGTGTCCCTGGTCATCAACTTCAACATGCCGTCCAGCATAGAGGCGTACACCCATCGTATCGGTCGTACGGGTCGTGCGGGCAAGAGCGGTGTCGCCATTACATTCCTCGGCAACGAAGATACCGATCTGTACTACGACCTCAAGCAGATGCTCTCCAAGAGCTCACTTTCTAGGGTACCTGAGGAGCTTCGTCGGCATGAAGCCGCGCAGTCAAGACCTGTCAAGAGACACAAAATGGCCTAGCGGGGCCTGTAGACTAGGTTGTTATGAATAATGGAATGGCGTACTCGGAACGGGGTTTCTCGGGAGGGCAGCCGTTGTGTCCTGTAGTCCAAAAAAGTAATATCGGTGCACACATACCATGTTTCGTTCTTGACGCCGGGTTTCTGTATCGCCTCTATTCAACCAGTGTATCTGCATACATCATCCTCGCCATCGCACGTTTTGCTTTCAAAAAAAAAGTTCCAACAAAAGGCTTTGGTGAATAATCTTCAGCGGGAAACAGTTCAGATCGGAACAACCCCATTCTTGGGACGGGGTCGGGGGTCGCTTGCGCACTTTTGAAGCCCACAAGCCACGGGCGCACTGAAACCATCGAACTGCAGTACCACCCAAATAGATGACGACCCCACCACACGATGGACCTCCTGCCGCGATTATCGTGATAATCTACTATGTCCGAGCCAAAAGCGTTCGGCGCCTCGGGGCTGGTGGCGGGGCAGATGCTGCTCCCTGCCAAAGTGTGCCTGACAGCGGGGAAGGATTCGGGGTTTCCAAGGCTAGCTCCCGCCGACCAAGCCAAGTCAACCCCACCACGGGTCACTTTTTTCTCGGTCTGATGTCAGGGCCCCGGGGCGTTCTGGGCCTGGGCTGCGCGAGGCGCCTGCAACTTGCTGCAAAAGAGTGCGGAATCAGATTGAACCCAAGACTTTGAAGAGAAAATTTTTGACATCTTCCCTTCCCTTGTTCCGCATCCACGGAGCCCGAAGGCTACTGGGTACGGTATTGCTAGCTTCACAGTTTACTGCTTCTGCTGCGCCTAAACACTCCACAATTTTCGGATCTTCACCGTTTCCCATTTCACATGGTTTTTGTATAAGTATTAACCCTGAGGGGTCGCCGGCCAAGTCATGACTTGAGAGGGTTGGCAATTACTCCCCCGTTCCCCTCTCTTTCCGTCCCTCTCTGCTCTTGGGCTCCCTCTCGTCCTCTTCGACCTGCACGTGTTAGCGCGCGCGGTTTTTTTTGTTCCTCTTGTTGAACAGAGGAGGCACTTGGTCACTGCTGGCTAGCTCGATCGACACTGTGATTCGGAGCCACTAAGCCCGCCCCGGTATCGGTAGACTTTTCTCATTCGCCCAGCCTGCGACAGCAAAGAAAAACCGACAAGAAAAAACGGTCTCTTGGGAACGCGCTCCGAGTGACCGACACTCTGTACGGCTACTTTTCGCAGTTGCCCCGCGCCCACCGTCCTATGGTCATCCCACCTCCCTGATTCAACTCAGCACGAGGGGGAGCAGTGAGGACAGTGCTGAATAGACTTCTATTCATCCGTCCTGCACTTGCTCCTTTCTGGCGCATCTGTTACATTTTGCTGCCTGCGGCCGCAGCTGCTGCTGAGCGATATTGCGTCTTGTGCGGCAAAACGGCCAACAAGCACCAAGCAAGCATATAGGATCAGCCAGCAAACAACCAATTCATTCCCCTCTTTTTCACCGACCTTTGCTGCGGCATTACTGCGAGGGGGGTTTTGGCCCTTCGTCCGCCCTCTGTCCTACCTACGACGACGAAATAAAGCAGAGGCATATTTTGCAACAAATTTGTTCCAGCTATCAACATGATGGACACTGCAGGCGCCGCCATGGACATCCCCCACCATGATGCTCCGGTCTCATTGAAGAAGAGCCGCACCGCGGCTTTGGAGGCGATCGAGGACATTGTATATGGATCTGTAAGTCGCGCGCCCCGTCTCTGGAGCTGTAGGATAAGTCTTCTAACGAGTGCATGTCGCACAGGTCGCTGGCGTTGTCGGCAAATACATCGAATACCCTTTCGACACGGTAAAGGTCCGACTCCAATCTCAGCCCGACAACCAACCCCTCCGCTACAAGGGCCCGCTTGACTGCTTCCGCCAGTCTATCAAGGCCGAGGGTGTCCTCGGTCTTTACCGCGGCATCAGCGCCCCGCTCGTTGGCGCCGCTCTCGAGAACAGCAGCTTGTTCTTCTTCGAACGCATCGGTCGCGCCGCGGTCTACTCCTCCGGCATAACACCCCAAGGCCAGGACCTTTCTCTGGGCGCGCTCTGGTTCACAGGCGCCTTCTCCGGCTTCTTCACATCCTACGTCCTGACACCGGTCGAGCTCGTCAAGTGCAAGATCCAGGTGCCTGCGAGGGCAGACGGCTCTGCGCCGCCACAGCTGCGTCCGCTGGCTGTCGTGCGCGACATCTACCGACACAATGGCATCAAGGGTTTCTGGGTGGGCCAGATGGGCACGCTGATCCGCGAATCGGGCGGTTGCGCAGCGTGGTTCGGCAGTAAGGAGACGGTGACCAAGCTATTCTACCACCTCAACGGCAGGGCGGCGAAGAGCCAGTCGGAGAAGGAGGCGCTCGCTGCGAAGCCGTTGCCGCTGTGGCAGCAGGCTCTTGCGGGTGCCTCTGGTGGTGTCTCGTACAACTTCCTCTTCTTCCCCGCTGACACGA